CTGGAATACGATAATGTGAACATAAACCTTAAAATGTAAACTTGGTATAAGGATTTCAATTAAGATTGTGTGGAAAGTATGCGAGTCTTGGCTAAAAAGTATTTAAGTCAAGTCAAAAGCTTTGTGTTTCGATTCCTTCAAGAGTCCAATTAACCGATGAAGACTGGTTAGGAGCATGTTAAATAAATGTCAAAGCAATCCAATATTTCAGAAATGAGAAGCAAAGAACAACAAGGATAGGAAGGGATGAAGGCTAGGAAAAAGCAATACACTGTGCATTCATGGCAAGGGGGAGAGGGAGAGTCTCAAATATATTCCCAATAACAGATATCGGACGAAAAAAGCAGGGCTGAGGCAGTGAAACTGAGAGAAGTAGTGGAGAATTAACTACAAACACTTGAAAGGCTGAAGGGGTCTTTCAAACACAGTTACCCAGACTTAAACTGAAGCTGGACTTCCTGTGATTGGACCTGGGTGTGTGTGTGACAGAGGTTGTGTTTGGAAGGGTACTTGAAAGTATAGCTTTGCAAACTACCAATGACTTCACTGTGGGAGACGTTGGACCACAGCAAAGCTACCATCAAGAGAAATTGAGTGTGGTAAGATTAAGCTACTTAAGTTAAATAGAAAGAATCAAACCAGCTAAATTGAGAAAGAAGTGTGCTGTGTTATGAAATAGCAAAATAAAGTCACATTAAATTATAAAATCCACTCAACTGTGTTGAAATAGTGCCAGCTTTTTGAATTCGCACATTTCAAAGAGAGCCTGTTGTCTAACTCAGTTCCATAACATACAAATGTCTCTTTATACACTTATGAATAGTTAAGCCAGTTAATAAACTACTAGTTTAGCTCCATGTAGTTCACTTCTCCCTAACACAGCTCACAGGAAGACAGAGGGGGATTGACAGAGACAGAATGAAGATGAAAGAGGAAGGGGAAAGGCTCAACTGCAGCCAGGTTGGAGAAAGCTAGCAAAGCGAGTGATTGATGAAAAAGGAATTAGGCAAGAAAGTGATGAAAGACACAATGAGGAGGAGGGGGGGAAGAAAAGAGAAAGTTTAAAAGGGGAGTTTCACAACTCAGTATGAGAAATATCGCGCTGACAAGTCTATTAGTAACAGTCCGACTCAAACAGAGGAACAAGAATGAATGTGCTCGCAGACCTCAGATTGGGAGAGCAGTGGAGTGGAAACGCTGGGAGACTAATGGATGTAACGTTCAAATAAACGCACAATAGTCATTTATACTCAAATGTAAAGCATGTGCCACTGTAAAGGGTACATGTCCCCCACTATTTAGATGGATGCACATCGAGTTCCTGTAGGAAACACTTGTTTTGGCGGTGGCTGCTGAAAGCCGAAACTCATTCTGAAATCAACGCTGTGCAAATTAAAAAGGTGCGGCCTGTGACGGGGGGAACTTTAAAAATGTGGCGTTTTGATTCAGGATGCTGTGAGTACTAACTGCTCTCCTGAAGATTTAAATGACCCCAATTCCCCAAAACGTCACATTTTTCCGTGTGATTTAAGGCTCTCTGCAGGATAAGAGGATATGACATTTGACTGGAGAGAAAAGGATGTGTTATAATGGCTTTCTACCAACTAATTGTCTCCCTGATAGAAGAACAGGGTAAGTGTGTACCTGAGTGTGTGTCCATGCATACAAGTAAGCAGGTAGAAAGGAAAAGAGGAGGAGATATCAAGAACAAACGGAGGGCAGATGGAGGTCAAATGCAGATTAGAGAAACATCTATTGAAGTCAAAATATTTCCCATCTCATGTTATCCTCACAACTGATCAAGCATGACATACGCTGTGAGTTGCAACTAGATACGAGTATGATAATGGCCAACTTCCTTGCTTATTTTAGCCCTTTTTCATCTTTAAATGGATTGAATATGACACTGAATTCCTTAGCAGTTATACAAAAGGAATTTGGTAAAGTTTACACTGTAGTTATGTCTGCTCGGTGCACATGAAATGCATGATTTATGATAGTTAAATATCCCATTTTCTCCCTACATTATTGCTTCCTAGAAAAAGCACAGAAAAGCTCAGCACACTTTTCTAAAAGATAAGAGGCAAAATGAAGATATTAGACACACGAGAACCATGCAGAAACACCCATCATACAGATGACCCGTCTTCAAATAATCTAAAGTGTGTTTGTTTTTAATGAATTACCACTTTTTATAAATAGTCTTCAAGTAACCCTGAGAAGTTACTGACCACTGGCAGTATTATGGGGCAATATTGTTTTGATCAGACCCAGATTTTGTTTATATATCAACACAGATGGAAACGTTTCAAGCTTATCAACAGCTGGTAGCAGCATGACACTAACAAGACAGAGCAAGTTCAACATATCTTTTTTTTTTTTTTTTTTTAAATCAACTTGTGAAAGTGAAATATCTGTCAGCAAAGTTCTTAGTTTATGCAGCAAGGGGATGATGGTGATTCAGGTTTATCCATGGGGTTAAACTGGTTAAACTGATGTATCCCAATGGTAAGATTTGTCCATATTAAAAGCATTTCATGCAGCCATAAAACATAGTAAGCATCCCCGAGTACAGGATGAGTCAACATCATTTTACAGGATGTCAAACTCTAAAATACCATTACTAAACAACTTTTTTTGTCATTGTTTTACCAAATACAGGTGAGTAAGTGACAACCGGTTCAATACATTATCAAATAAACTCATTTAAAACGTTTACTTTGATTTCATGGCAGTTTTAAACTGCGTCTGCAAACCCTGAGAGGTGCTTTTGGTTATTGAAGATGCTTACGAGCTGGGTGGAGTTACTATGGGAGTTTTCGGAGGTGCATCATTGACTCCTTAAGGAATCATAAAAGCGAAATATGCCTTCCATATTAAGATATACAAAGATACCATGGGAGTCACCGCCCACATAGATCCTGGGAAGATGTCTAATCAGCCAAAGTAAATGAAGTCAGAGTGTCAGGGGGCTTTTTAACCCACCGACAATTTAGTTAATAACATGTTTCCTTGACTGAGGTAACACTGAGTCAAGACCAAGCATGTAGCAGGTGGGAAAACATGCAACTTTTCAAAAATCAAATCCTCCTTCAAAATCATAAAAGGGACTGCCTCCTAAAATAGATAGATGACCAATATTACTGCTGTCACATCTCTCTTTAAAATCATTCATATTAAGTCACATTACTCACCTTTTCTGTCGTGCATAAATATTTAAAGACCTAAACTGACAGGATAGATTTAAAAAGAGACACCGTGTTCCTCAAAATAACACAAACTGAATAGTTTGGGGAAACAAAAATGGACTTTTGGCTGTGAGCGGGGCGCTGGTTTGACTTAATGATTTTCAAGACTTCAATGTTTACTGATGAGTCTTTGTACCCATCCAGAGCTGATTTAGCTCACTTTGTTTTGTAATGCAAATCATGGCAAGATGAATAAGAGCTCCTTTGCGTGAAAAGGGGAAAAACAACTACAAAGAGAAGAAAGATGCCAAACAAAACTGTACAGCAACAAAACAAAAAAACACGGTTTATAAAGTTGTCAGTCATGTTCGGTTGCCATGGTAACAACTGACATCATTGTGTGTTTATGCATCACTTCCCATATTAGTTGCACACGTTAATTAATTAATTTATCTAATTATGGCGAGGATCTAATACCAATTAGCGTAATTGTAGCTTTCTGTGTACAGCCATCAGTGCCGAGCACAGATTTATGGGTGTGACCGCAGGGCGTGTAGACCTGTGGGTTTTTGAGTTTGTGGCGTGTGTAAGTTTGAGACCCGTCTGTGTTTCAGCCGAGCAAATCTCACAGGTCATCAGTGAGTGCTATTTATATCTTTCATCATCATCCTCCCTCTCTTTCACTCCCATTGTCTCTCTGACCTCATCGTCCCGCTTATCTCCTCACTAATCCCACTTTGTGTACCCTTCATCCATCCTCGTTTTTACCTTTCCTCAATCCGTCCATTTTCCTTTCCCATGTTTTTTCTTCTGTTAAGTCTGAAATTGCCTCCACTCTTATCGATCATCCATGGATGTATAAAGAAAACTGGATACAGAATCGGAGGTGGGGGCCAATTCATTCCTCTAAAAGTTGCTCAGTGGCACTTGAAGCCAAAATGGGACTGACTGTAGATTCAAAAAGTACCTGGATCATGCAGACTTAAGTTTTCCTGAGGCCCTCCCTTCAATCTACCTTCTTTTAATAAATGTTACCACTTGTTGATCATAGTGATTTAAATAAGGGCTAAAAGAGTGTGTGTACTGTGTAGTTGATTTAGCTAAAAAACAAACAAATGCTGGGTTAAAGACCTTTCTTCCTCAATGTGGGTTAATGGGGAAGTGTGTTTTTAGGCCCAATGAAGTCACTGACTGGCACCGACACGCTACGAACATGTGCTTTGATTATTCACAATTTTGGCTAGTGAGGATTCTATGATAACATAATTGATGAAAAGGACATTTTCATCAATTCATCAGTTTGGAAATGATGCTCTGTTTTTGTCTGGTGTGAGAGATCATGCCCGGGTAAAAGACAGCTGTAGTTCGGCTTTGGAATGTCCTTTTTTCTGTTGTGTCATCATAATGCATATTATACGACCAATGTTCATATTTAAATAGTTTCGGCAATGTTCTTCATAGATCTAGCATCTCATACTGCACCAGATCAATGTGTTAAAGACTACACCATTTTATTTCTAAATGCATGATGTATATAAATAGGAACCACTATGGCTCGGGGAGTAAATGTTTGTCAATTTGGATAAAAGCAAAGATAACGTGTAATGAAATCATGATGTATAATCGTGATCTCAGTATTGACCAAATGTTGGTAATGATGTTTCTGATAATCATGCAACCCCAGCCTCCTCCAGGCCTCCAACATTCCCTGTCAAGTTTCTGGGGAAGCATCTCACCTTGAAGCTGCACCAGACAACACACAAAAAAAATAACTGCATCAACCATCCGCACATGTAAACATCTGCTACTCACTCTGTGATCTCTTCAGTGACCGTGTGTTCAACCTGCAGTCGAGAGTTGACCTCGATGAAGTAGTGTTTGCCTTGTCGGTCCACCAGGAACTCCACGGTGCCCGCGCTCTCGTAGCCCACCTGCAGAAAACATGGAGAGAAAAAGGCACTTTTACAGCTCCGAGTTCTCCTAATAATAATGTCAGCTGTGTAAACAGTCATGAAGAAGCACTCACTCATCTTAATGAGCCATGAAAGCAGAAGAACAAAAACACAGTGCTCTCTCCTCGCAGATATTACTCCATGAAATGAGAAAATAAGCTCTGTTTTATTTGTACAGAGGCACGAGGGCTTTTTTCATCCTTTTCCTGCCTTGTAATAATTAGGTCATTAATCAAGGGGGATTTATTAAAAGCTCATTATAAAAGCACATTTTCACACTGCAGTCAGATTCAAAATCACTTGCTTGTACAATAAATGTAAAGAAATGTGTATTGGAAGGGACCATAATATGTCTTCTAAGATATGCCGTAACATAGTGACATCACTATGGACCACTTGCGCTTCTATTGGCTAGCGCTCCAACACATTTGACGTGAATAAAGACCTTTCTGAACATTAAAGCATGTAAACATGTCACAGTAGAGCAGTGCTTCTCAAAGTGTGGTCCGTGAGCGCCCCCTAGTGGTCCGTGAGTATATTGGTAACATTTCCCATTTGAAATAAATAAATACATTTAGGTTTTCCGTACTCTCGCGGGAATATCTCCGCAATGGAGCGAGGTTAAGTTTCACTTTCAATTGCATGATATAGCCCTGTGCAACACCTTCATCACACATGTTGCCACTTGTTTGTAGAATTTTCAGGCGATTTGTAATCTGTTCTAGAAAAACGATGTGTTTTTTTATATTTGTGGAGTTAGGTGGTCCGCGAGTGTTTTTTTATTGGTTAAGTGGTATGAAAAAGTTTGGGAAACACTGCAGTAGAGGGAATCAATACAAATATGAAACCTGAAAATGAGCATAATCTTTCCTCAAGAATAGACAATATGTCTCTGTTGAACTTATATACAAAACATCTGCGTAGGTTTGTAGGAACTTGCAAAAAACATGTATTGTTCTCCTCTATTCCACGTGAATATATTAACTAACTGGGACAAAATCCTCTAAATTCCAAAGGTCTAACTTTTTCTAAGTCTGTGTCCCCATCTCACAGTCTTAAGCAAACAGACAAATGTGTAATAAATAGAAAACTAAAGACAGTGTGGGCAGGAAAAGCAATGGTTCGCATATGAAGAAACAGAATGCATTAAGAAAGTGCTCACATTTAAAATAAAATGCGGGTAAGAGTACACCTGGAGCACTTCCATGCTCGCTTCGGCAAGCTGTTAACTGCCAACGCAAAACGCTCATGAGCGCATCTCCAAATGCATTTATTTTAGTTTTCAGCTTTAAACATCACCGTAACCTACTAAAAAGGTTTTCTTTCTTTTTTTAAACGCACCCTTGATCTAAAATTTCCATTTAGTCTGCCTAAGATGTTTTTTCTCTCTCCTTTGAACAGAAATGTTCTCACTTTGATCAGCTCGGCGGTGTGCAAATGTGCAATTTGAATGACCATGTACTGCCCTTTATTCATTTCAAAGTTATTCAATAGCTCATTATTCATTCAGCAGAGAATAACAGAGCTGTTTTGGATGTTTCTTTTCAACAGTATACATCTTCATTGAGTATTTATTACAGGACATTTCTTTTGACATTTTAACTTGAATCAGGGAAAGCTTTTCTTTTCATCCTTTTGTCCCCAAATAACTCAATCGGAGAGAATCTTAAGGCTAATGTAGCACCTGCATAAAAGTATTTTATGAAGAGTAAATGAAAACTTCTCGGATCTAGTTTAATATTTGAGTGTAATTGCTCTATAAATGTTATATAAATAAAACGCATCATTATTATCACTGGATTTTGCCGGTATGAAAATTTCACAGAAGATTTGAGCAAAGCAATCTGATTCATGTTCCAACTATTTTCACCAATTTAACCAATCAGAGCGGTGCCTCATCACTGATTATTCCTATAATCAAAGTGTTGCTGAATAGGAAATAAACCCTGTTTCAAGGGAAGGATATCATTGAAGAAAACAACATCCAAAGATGGGAATGAAGATAGAGGGCTGCGTGCAATCAGATATCTAAAACACAAGCTGCAAATCAGGAAATCACATATTCCCAGAAGGCACAGATGTGGACGGCTCCGGAAAAGGCCACAGCGCCACCTACGTCTGAACATATCTCAAACTATCTGATGAGCATAGTCCTGTTTTTGGATTCTTCCCCCCATCTTTGTAGTGTTCAGACTCTGTGAACAAACCTGGAGGAGGTGAATGTTCCAAACCAATTCCTTCACCCAATTCTTCAAAGACAAAAGTGCATGTTCAGTCTTTAATAGTTTAAAAGCAGCCAACTGCCTTATTTCCAACATTTGGCAAGCGTAAATGTCAAGACAATCAAATGGGCAGAGGAGGAGGGAGGGATGGATTGCGGAGATAAAGATTGCCTTAAGCTAGGAAACAAAATAAATGCAGCAATTAGAGTTTGGCAACTAGACAAACACAAAACAAGCCAAAAAAAGAGCTCAAAACAGCTCTAGAAAGTCTGTGCGCAGGTGCACCTCTGCCAAAAAAAGAGCACCGGGTCATTTGAAAAAAGGCGCAATTGCGTACCAACATTGAGAGAGAGAGAGAGAGAGAGAGAGCGAGAAAAGAGAAGAGAGAGGAGAGAGATAAGAGAGAGAGATATTTGCGAGTTGCATACGAACTCAGGGCCGGCCCGTAGCACTGGCTAGATGTTCGCCTAGGGCGCCTTATCTGGGGAGGCAGGTTTGAAATCATTCCAATGTATACTATAGGACAGTAACCAAAAAATGTCCTTTAAAACTGGAGATAAAAAAAAAAATGCATAAATAAATAAATGTTAAGGTAAAACAAGATATGAATGAACAACACAAATAAAATAAGTTACATTCATTTGTTATTGTCTATGGGTCATGTTCACATACTTATTTGATTACATCCACTTGTCTAAGATGACAACAGAGACTTTCGACCCAAAACCAGATGTTGACTTGTGGATGCAAGCAGCTAATCGCAGACTCAACCAGAGAGAAAGTAGTAGGCCTACATCATCAGCTACCATGTCTGACAGAGAGCATTAGCATAGGAACGTAGCACTATTGAAGCACTTAATATTTTTTAAATTAAGGAACAATTATGTGTCAGACTGGGTGAGACGCCTCAAGGCACTAATACACAAAATGTAAATGTTCAGCCTGAGTAACCTTTCTCAACCTTCTCTGTGTGCAGGCATATTTTTTATTGTAATTCTGTGCGTATTTCCTGTGAGGACAAATACACACACACACACACACACACACACACACACACACACACACACACACACACACACACACACACACACACACACACACACACACACACACACACACACACACACACACACACACACCAGCTTTTCTGGTTATTACCCGTCCCCTTGTGTGTTATGTAGCTTTTTCTGCATGTAAACGGTCTGAAGAGTCACAAACCCTCAAAGTACACCCTGTAGAGAGTAAAACTCTAACACAGAAAAGACCTGTCTATGCTGCCCCAGAACGCCTCGTTGGAGATTTTTATTTTTCCATTGTTTACTTCTTGGGTATAGTGAAGTATGTCGGGTATAGTGACGTAACGTAACGGCTCCGCAGATTGGTCCAAATGGACCAATCCGGAGCCGTTACGTTTGGACCAATCCGCGGACTTCCTCACACTCGGCGGGACGTTGCGAGGCTCGCTGCTGCGAGGAGCGGGACACTGAGCTGGCTCACTGGTGTGGGGTCAGCGAGTCAGCGAGACACCGAAACTCAGCCTGGACACACACACACACACACACACACACCCGCAGCCTGGCTGGGAGTTTGTGTGTGCCCAGGCTGAGTTTCGGTGTCTCGCAGATGGCCACTGGGCTCGCAGGGAGGGGGGACAGGAGCTCCAACAAGCCGTGTAGGACAGAGAGTGAATACACATACTTTACAGAGATGCTGTATGAGAAACCAATGTGAGTTTGGAAAATTGCACAATGTAAATGTATTTTAATATACCTCAATAATGTAATTATGATCCGCAGAAATGGCCATGACATGGGAATTTTAAGGCAAGTGAGATTTAAGACATCTTCCACCTTTCTTTAATGTAACGCCGAATACAATTTAGTGCCAATTACAAAATCTTGGTGAAACATTTGGTAATGATTTACTGATTATTTTTACTGTGCATACTTTACGACTTTTGAAAGTTTAATTTAAGACATTTTGAAAGCAATTAAGGCCTTTTTTTTATAAATGAAGAAAAAAGTGGACACAACTTCTCACGCATATATTGAAGGTGTCACTCCATATTGCACTCTCACACACTGAGTCAGTGAGTGAACTCGCAGCCAGTGGACCAGATGGAGCGCTCGCTGCTTTATAAGGTCTGACAGACAAGTCAGTGAGCTGTATTAACACCCCGAGAGGTCACCGAGGGCGACGAATACACGCATCCTACCGCAGTATTTAATGTATATTCACATATTTAACTCCCTGCAGCTGACCACAGTGTGTGAGTGATGGCGCTTAAAGGATCCCGATGAATGTAGCAGCTTAGAACAGGAAGTGACAGAGACAGATAGCTGGTACTGTACTGCAGAGAGTGAGACAAAGTACATAAGAAGAGTTCATGAACAGTGGGAGAAAAGGGGATGGACGGAAGAAGAGGGGGAGGTAAAAGAAAGATTGATGGATTGATCACATGAGGACAAAGACGAGTGAATGTGAGGATTAGATGGAGTAAATCAGAGAGGGGAAGAAGGGCAGAGCTGCCATGATGGAGGGACTGTCACTCTCTTTCTGTCATCAAGCACTTCAGTTTAAAATCATTTGCACGCGACGTTACAGGATGTTCAAATCCAATGAAAACTCCTGACAGTTTTTTATACGCTCACTCCACAGCGACTGGCTATGACAGAATATTATTCAAAGACTTCACTACACTGGAAACTGCTGTGTGAACTCATTCATCAACAAGATGGAGTAAAGTACAAACGGCAT